CACTTAACTTCTTCACCCACAATGAGTTCCAGTAAAAGATTTCTACTCAAGTATGTCTCTTAAGCAGCCACCAATATCACTGTATGTCCCCCAGCCTAAACAAAGGACCTACTGGATACATATAATATCTGATGGCTTTGTTGGCTGTCATTGGCCAAATCGACTCTCTGTTTGCCATTGTTTGCAGACCGAGACAAGACTACTGAGAACAATAGGAGGGGTCCTACACAGAGCCACTGGCCTTCTTCCCTCGGCATGGCCACTATAGATGGGGAGGCCATTAGGTAAATAAGGTCCGTATCTACCTTCCTTTATAGCCTTTCATTAAATCTTTAAGTCTCCCGTACAAGTTTGATAGAAAATGGGAAACTGTTAATTTAAAAGAAGATTCTCTATCATATTTCAGTAATACTTTTCTTTAATTTGTATTTGTTTATAAAAAAAAAAACATGAGAATATCTAGTTTTGTATCTCTTCAAATTATTTCTCGTGGGTTAGGTAAGGTTAGGTTACGTTACGTTTTTAATTCCACAATTTCCCCTGCTTCCAAGCCCTGCAGGTAAGGTCACGATTAACAGGGAAGGAAGGATCATAACTCAATAATTATATATTTCCTCAAACTTTCATGAGCACCACTATAATCACCGTAAACAACTGCATTAAAAACAATGGTTGCTTTTCATGGCTAAATCGTTTGCTGGTATTTGTGGAATAATTACCTCTCATGGATGTATTCTTCTTCCAATTATTTCTAAACAGTTTTCAAATACATCAACCTCAGGAACGTGAACACGGGAAAATATTAAACAATCCCCCCCCCCCCGCAAAACATAAAAGAAATGTAAAACAAAGAAAACTGGTGTAATTCCTTCACACCTGCTATCAGACCCCGTCACTCAGCTCGCCTGTACCATCAAGACAACACAAACTACAGGACAACACTGAGGTAACAACTAGCCACACCGTCTACGACACAATACTCTAAAAAAAAATGATTTTTTTTTACCTTCTTCATGTACGAGAGATCAGAGTCGTAAATGACCATAATAACAATTACCTGTAAACGTGGGACTGAATGGAAGATGGTCGGTTATAATTATGTATTTTATAGCTAAGAGTTGTGCAGTCGGTGAATGTAACAGAAAGTGTTGTAGGGAGGAGGTATAGGGAGGTATTGTGGGGAGGTGTTGTGGGGAGGTGTTGTGGGGAGGTGCTGTGGGGAGGGGTTCAACAGGGGGAGGTTGTGGGAGGGGTTGTAGAAAGGAGAATTATATAGGGAGGGTTGTATGGGGGGGGTGCTGTGAAATGGTTGTAGGGAGGGGGTTGTAGGAGGGTTGTAGGAGGTGTTGTCAGGAGGGTTGTGGGGAGGTGCTGTGGGGAGGTGTTGTCAGGAGGGTTGTGGAGAGGAGTGCTGTAGGGAGGGGTTGTAGAGAGAGGGAGGGTTGTGGGGAGGAGGGGTTGTAGGGAGGGGTTGTGGGGAGGGGTTGTGGGGGTGCTGTGGGGAGTGGTGTGAGGTGTTGTGGGGAGGTGTTGTGGGGAGGTGGTGTGGGGAGGTGGGTGTGGGGTGTTGGGGAGGTGTTGGGGGTGTGGGGAGGGTGGTGGGGGGGTGTTGTTGGAGGAGGGTGTTTGGCCAGGGGAGGTGGTGTGGGGGAGGTGTCGTGGGGAGGGTGTTGTGAGAGGTGTTGTGGGGGAGGGTTGTGGGGAGGTGTTGTGAGGAGGTGGTGTGGGGGGTGTTGTGCAGGGAGGTGGTGTGGCGGGGTGTTGTGGGGAGGGTGGTGTGGGGAGGTGTTGTGGGGAGGTGTTGTGAGGGTGTTCTTGGGGGAGGGTTCTTGGGGAGGTGGTGTGGGGGGAGTGTTGTGGGGGAGGTGGTGTGGGGAGGTGTTGGGAGGTGGGGATGTTGTGGGGAGGTGTTGTGAGGAGATGTTGTGGGGAGGTGTTGTGGGGAGGTGGTGTAAGAAGGTGTTGTTGGAAGGTGTTGTGGGGAAGTGTTACCATCGTTAATGATTTGAAAGTGAAAGAGTGAATGGTTACCAAGTTTCACGGATTGGAAAAAGGTTTAGGCCACAGTGTACTGTATTCGTACAATCCCTAATGGGGGCATCAGGCCTATGGGATCAATTTTCATAATTTTCCTTTGGAACAAGTCCTACACCAAGCATCCCTGGCGTAACACTCCAGAAAAAAAAGGGTTACTGTCTCAGTGGTGGTGGTGGTGGTCCTGTCTACCGTCACGTGGGACCGGGAGAATATCATTAGAGGATTATTAATATTATACGTGTATATATATATATATATAAAATAACTCGGTGAGAGGTTTCAAAAAGAACAGTACAGGTATTTTGCAACAATAGTGTCTCGCAGATAACATTAGTTTTACAGTGTTGAAATTATATTATCTAAGCTTCACGTCCAAGATATTCAAGGTAAAAGTAACATAACAAGAAGCATTAAAGAGACGTTCCAACAATAGCTGTTTTGACGAAGTTTCAGTAATAATTTGTGGCACAACTCCCGTTCAAGTAAAATATGACACAATGTGTCGAGAAAATTTTAAGTGATAATTTTGCTCACTTCCTCCACTCACAACAGTTGGTAAAGAGACGTAGTTTGTCAAACTCTCTTATCTTGCACTTTAGTTTAAACTTCACAAGATAACTTAACAACATTATAAAGGACACAAGTCACACATTAATTTCCAGGTTGTTTTTCATTAGTAATATCATAATTGATAACGTCATCAATGTGATACTGTACTGCTAACGAGGAAGACATCGCTGATATGCTACTTCATATAATATCTTGTATCATCTACCTGCCGGCCACTATGTACCGCCTCATGTACTGTATATCATATAAACCTCGAAAAAAATCTTGCCTTAACTAGACAACTAACTCAAGTGTAAGAAGAGCAAATTATTGAATATTTATTATTAAAAGAAAGAAAACGAACATAACTTTTATTGTTCTAACCCACAGTATCTCACCTAGTGCGAGGCTCAGGTCAAGATACTCTGTAGTGTCTAACAGCTCACTAGTATATCTTTTTCCTCAATAACTCTACAATATTACTCACTATATGTGTTCAAGCCTTCACCAACGGTAAACAAATAGCTCCCAGATTACATATTAAAAACTGTAAACACAAATGAGTTCTGGAGAAAATTAACAGTGCAGTATTTCTTTGTGTTGAGTAAAAGTCTTTATTGTTCCTGTACAGTTCACCGAAAACACAATAGAAAAGTTTATTACTAATATAATGGAGCTACACAATGGTAATTTTTTCATCACAGTTTTTGACGGAAAAGAGAAAAGTTAACTCCAGGTCATTATTTTTTTGTCAGTCTTATTGGTCTCATTTTCTATTAACTGATAAAAAATAGGGTTTTTTGGTTTCATGGTCTCGACATACAACTTTCAAAACAGAGATAAATTTTCTAAAACCAGGGCTGATGCCTGACGTCATCAGAGGTATTGATGAACTAACACCACAAGACCAACACTTCTGAAGGAGGAGGAGGAGGAGGAGGAGCATTAAGTTAGCATCCTCATAGTTCGGTCAAAATGTTCTTTCAGTAACTGTATGTCATATCAAGTTATTCGGGATCTGAGCAATAGATTACAACGTAGAAATAATGACTTATAAGAAAATTTAGTCTTAGAGAGCATTTGAGGTGTTAGGAGATATGTACCAACAGGGCGTCGCTAAGCTCAAATACTCGGGCAAATGTTGTCAGCACTTGGAGTCATATCACAAACAGACACACCCCCCCCCCCTTGGTTGTACGGACTGTCACATTATAAAAGGGTCGTGTAATGTTATGTAATTATGTAATGTTACGTAATTATGTAATGTCATGTAATAAACGTATATTCAACAAAACCAAACTGTAATAGTGATGTACCATGAGCAACACACTGTGAACACCCTGTAGGACGCAACCCATCGAACCAGTGACTCTTAGGACAGGTGGCGAGAGCTGGATAAAGCTCTTGCCACCTGTCCTAAGAGTTGCTGGTTCGATCAAGGAGCACCCCAAGTCCACCAAGCTGTGGGTAAATGAAGACGGTCGAGCTCAATGCCGGACACGCTGCCTCCTTAGTATATTACGCTGTCTCTAACGGGCCGCCAAGCCTATGGGACCCACATCACCTTTTCGACTTACTGAACCTCCTGCAGCCTCCATCAGTAAAATGAATAAGGAAACTTAAACTTCTCAGAAGTTATTTTGGTAACTTTAAAAGGATGAAATTTATACTCAGTGCAGACCGAGGCACCTTGAGTGGTGGAGGGTGAAGATGACTAGTTCTTTACAGCGGTGCCTTCCTCACCCACGTCCTCCTCCCATAACTGTAACTCTTCCTCTTTATCTTATGGGAGACTCGAGCTTTTCTCTCGGAACCCCTTACGAGCACCTCTAAGAAGGGTCTCTCACTGTTATGGTCCTAACGCCACAGTACCGCCGCTCTCCCACCAATATAAACCCTCCAGACTACAGTCTCCCTTCCCACTATCTTTATATATATATATATATATACACAAAATGCTAATTTATTACATTATTGTGTGTATTTATTAATGGAGGAAACTAAAATAGTGGCTTTTAGAAATATTTACACAATATATTTTATTTTAAGCCCAGCGGCCTCGCTTCCCGCAACTGGAAATAAACATCTCTGAAGTATGTCTTAATTTAGAGGGAACGAACAAAGTTTGGCAATGTTCAGTGATCCGTGCCTGATAAATCAGACATATTGGTTTGTTTTAACTCCCAGGATAAGAGCACCAGGGCGAGTGTTGTAAAAGTCTGTTATATACTGTACACACACTATATGGATATAACATATATGATTTCACCTGTTATAAAAAATAAAACAAATATTTCATAAAAAAAAAATCATCATATCTCAGTGAAATAAAAGATGTTAAGTTTTTATCTGCAAGGAAAGAACACGAGAGAGAGAGAGAGAGAGAGAGAGAGAGAGAGAGATAAGAGACGTACCTGGAACCTGTAGAGAGAGGAGTCATCCTTGACGATCAGCGAGCGGGACTCTCCCACGGGGAAGAAGTACCCGTACTGACACAGCAGGTTGGCCAGATGGATGGCTTCCGCTGTGGGAGACATCAAGAATAACACGTTATTAATGGCTTACTCGAACATGTCTTACTCCAATATGTCTTTCTCCAACATGTCTTACTCCTAGATGTCTGTCATAACTCCCTGTCATACTACTCGCTGACTACTTGCTGTTGCTGAGTAAATTGTCACTTGTAAACTATTTTTATATTCTTATCTGTATTTGGCTGTCCTTGTCTGTACGTGACTGTACTTGTTAGCACTGTGTTGGTGTTCTCTGTCCTCCTTGTCTTATATATTTATCGTTTATTTTTTCGTTTTATCTCTATTTTCTTTTCTGTTTACTGAGAATAATTTTTTTTGAGCAGGTAAATAAATGTTAAAAGGGAAAGTGACACAGGTTACTCTCCGTCTCTCTCTCTCCCACTTAAAGCAGCGCTTTAAATCTGTCACTTCCCTCTCCCAGCGTGCCTGTGTCCCTCCCACCTCCCAGCATGCATGTGTCCTTCCCACCCTCTCCAGGCGTGCCTGTGTCCCTCCCACCCCTCCCAGCATGCATGTGTCCTTCCCACCCTCTCCCAGCATCCAGTCCCCTCCCACCGTTCAGGCTCCTCTGCTGCTCCCACCCCTCCCAGCGCCTGTGTCCCTCCCATCTTCCCAGAGCGTCCTGTCCTTCCACCTCTCCCAGCGCGGCCCTCCACCTCCCCAGAGCCTGTGTCCCTCCCACCCTCTCTCCAAGGCCTGCCTTCCCACCCTCCCCAGTGCTGCCTGCCCTTCCCACCCTCCCCAGCCTGTGTCTTTCACCTCTCCCAGCTGCCTGTCCCTCCACCCTCCCAGGCTCCCATCTGTCCTTCCCCAACCTCTCCCAGTGCCTGTGTCCTCCCACCTCCCAGTCCTTCCCACCCTCCCCAGCGTGCCTGTGTCCTTCCCACCCTCTCCCAGCGTGCATCCTCCTGTGTCCTTCCATCTCCCACCAGCCTCTGCCAGTGCCCTGTCCCTCCCATCTTCCCAGCGTGCCTGTGTCCTCCCCACCCTCTCCCAGCGTCTGCCTCCTCTCCCAGCGTGCCTGTCTCTCCCACCTCTCCCAGCGGCATCTGGTGCCCTCCCCTCCCAGGCAGCCTGTCTCCTCTCTCCCACCCTCCCACCCCCAGCGTGCCTGTGTCCTTCCCACCCTCTCCCAGCGCGTCTGTGTCTCTCCCACCTCCCAGCGTGCATGTGTCCTTCCCACCAGCGCTGTGCCTCCCACCCTCAGTGTGTGTTCTCCCACCCTCCTCCCAGCACCTCTCCCACCCTCCCCAGTCTCCCACCCCCGTGCTGTGTCCTTCACCTCTCCCAGCGCGGCTCTGTCCCACCCTCTCCCAGCGGTGTCCTTCCCACCCTCTCCCACGCTCTGGCCTCCATCTCCAGCCTGTGTCCCCACCCTCCAGCGCTGCCCCCACCCCAGCATGTGGCCCTCCCACCCTCCCCCCCCAGCCGTGCCTGTGTCTCTCCCACCCTCTCCCAGGCCCCTGGTTCTCCCACCTCCCTCTCTCCCAGCACGTGTGTCTCTCTCCCACCCTCCTCCCAGGTCTGTGCCCTCCCCACCCTCTCCCAGCGTGCTCTCCCAGCCGTCTGTGTTCCCTCCACCCTCCCAGCGTGCCTGTGTCCTTCACCCCTCTCCCAGCGCGCGTGTGTCTCCCACCCTCTCCCAGCGGCTCTGTCTCTCCCACCCCTCCCAGCGCGTGTGTCTCCCACCTCTCTCCAGCGTCTGGGCCCTCCACCCTCTCCCAGCGTGCATGTGTCCTTCCCACCCTCCCCCCCACCCTCCCATGTGTCTCTCCCTCCCAGCGGTCTGTCTCTTCCCACCCTCTCCCAGGCAGCCCTCCCACCCTCTCCCCGCCTGTCCTGCCCTCCCACCCTCCCAGCGCGCCTGTGTCTCCCACCTCCCAAGGCATGTCCCCACCCTCCCCAGCGTCTGTGTCTCTCCACCCCTCCCAGTGTGTCCTTCCCACCCTCCCAGCGTCTGTGTTCCTCCCACCTCTCCTGTGTCCTCCCACCCCTCTCCCAGCGCATGTGTCCTTCCCACCCTCTCCCAGTGCTTCCCCTCCCACCCTCTCCCAGCCCTCCCACCCCCTCCCCTCTCCCAGTGTGTCCCTTCCCACCCTCCTGCATGTCCTCCACCCTCTCCCACGTCTGTGTCTCCCACCTCTCTCCCAGCGTCTGTGCCCTCCCACCCTCTCCCCAGCGTCTGTGTTCCTCCCACCCTCTCCCAGCGGTGTCCTTCCACCCTCCCCGTGTCTGTGTCTCTCCCACCCTCTCCCAGCGTGCATGTGTCCTCCCACCCTCTCCTCCCCAGTGCATGTGTCCTTCCCACCCTCTCCCAAGGTGTTCATGTTCCCTCCCACCCTCCCAGGTGCATGTGTCCTTCCCACCCTCTCCCCAGCAGCATGTCTGTGTCTCTCCCACCCTCCTCCCAGCGTGCATGTCCTTCCCACCTCCCTCCCAGTGTCTGTGTCCTCCCACCCCTCCCAGCATGCATGTGTCCTTCCCACCCTCTCCTAGCGTGTCTGTTCCCTCCCCTCTCCTAGCGTGCCTGTGTCCTTCCCCACCCTCTCCCAGCGGTGCCCCCTCTCCCACCTCTCCCAGCGTGCCTGTGTCCTTCCACCCTCTCCTAGGTGTCTGTGTCCTTCCCACCCCTCTCCCAGCGCGTCTGTGTCCTTCCCACCCTCCTCCCAGCGTCTGTGTCCCTCCCACCCCTCTCCCAGCTGTCTGTGTCCCTCCCCCACCCTCCAGCCGAGCCTGTGTCCTTCCCCACTCTCTCCCAGCGCGTCTGTGTCCCTCCCACCCTCTCCCAGCGCGTCTGTGTCCTCCCACCCTCTGCCAGAGCGCCTGTGTCCTTCCCACCCTCTCCCAGCGCGTCTGTGTTCCCACCCCTCCCCAGCGTGCCTGTGTCCCTCCCCATCATCCCACTCTGACAAATAAACCCTACTGCTCTCACTCCTTCCCCTCACTTCAAGTCAAAACCGCACCACCCTACCTCCAGTCCCCCACCTCTTTGTCTCTCCTCCACACTTGACCTGCAGAAGTGCCACTGAGAGTGACACGCCCCCCCACCATGGACACTAACACAACACTTCATGACACTAATACAAATCTTATGACACCATCAATATCAGGAAGAAGATAGGAGAAAGTATCAGGTGTAAGGGAAGTAGTAGGAGAAAGTACCAGTTTTGGGAGTTTTAGGAGAAAGTATCAGGTAAGGAAAGTATAAGGTGTTAAGAGAAAGTATCAGGTGTAAGGGAAAATATTTATGTTTGGAGAATCTATCAGTGTTAGGAATAGTATGTGTTCAGAGAAAGTATCAAGTGTTCGGAGAGAGCTTATGTAAGGAGAAAGTATCGGTGTTAGGAGAAAGTATCAGTGTTAGGAGAAAGTATCAGTGTTAGGAAACAGTATAAGCAAGTAGGAAAAAGTAAGTGTTAGGAGAAAGTATCAGTGAGGAGAAAGTATCAGTGTTAGGAGAAAGTACCAGTGTTAGGAGAAAGTATCAGTGTTAGGAGAAAGTATCAGTGTTAAGAGAAAGTATCAATGTTAGGAGAAAGATCAGTGTTAGGAGAAAGTATCAGTGTTAGGAGAAAGTATCATGTTAGGAGAAAGAATCAGTGTTAGGAGAAAGTATCAGTGAGGGGAGAAAGTATCAGTGTTAGGAGAAAGTATCAGTGTTAGGAGAAAGTATCAGTGTTAGGAGAAAGTATCAGTGTTAGGAGAAAGTATCAGTGTTAGGAGAAAGTATCAGTGTTAGGAGAAAGTATCAGTGTATGTTCTTCCTCCCGTATATCCATCACCAGCCACCATCACCCATTACCTCACACGTCTCATATCACCTCATCAAAGCCTCTTGTCCTGATGAGTGTATAAATGATAAATAATTTTAGCTCAGCTCTCACAACTCCCATCCATCGGTATAAGTAACCGCCTCAACACAGAGTGGTGAGGCAGCCAAGCGTGGTGTTGATGACGGCTTCTGAATGGGCTAATCAGTTTCCGCTTCCTCCTGCTGAAGCAACCTGTTGATTGGCCGATTACAAGCGAGACGTCTGCACATCCCAATACTTTCCTTTTCGTGTTGTTTACGTTACAGTTACGGATTTGATATTGATTGTGTAATAATATTTACTGGTTGTATATCTGGATATAATTATGACCGAAGCGTAATAGACATTTCTTTAAACACCATCTCACTCTTAATTGACTTTAGGCTCGGCAAACTCGCTCCCATGTTTTGGCTGGCGCGTAAACATGTTTGTCCCAGGAAATTACCAAACTTGTTTTCTTCTCTTGAGTTGTGGTATGTTAAAGAGTATGATTCATTTCCTTTTCTTTTCTTCATATCTTCAATCCAGAATTTATTTATTTTTACAGTATCATGGCCGGGTGAAATATAACCCGAATGAGCTTAGCTGAGACTAATATAACCCGAATGAGCTTAGCTGAGACTAATATAACCCGAATGAGCTTAGCCATAGGTCATTTTATCCAAGGACTCTTCCCTCGTCACACACACTGCAGATGACAGCCCGACTCGCCTTCCTCAGCATTAGCGTCCAGTAATGATCGTCACTCTCACACCGTAGTTCGAAATTCAATATGCAAATGAGCTTAATTAGCATAATATCACTTTCCCATTAAACTAACCTGCCGTCGTTACCTAAGAGAGAGAACCAAATGAATGAGTTCTTTTGTACACAACACCCAATTCAGTGATGACAATAGCCTCGTTTCTTTGTCGCTGATACAGAGTTAAGGGTTGAGGTGGTCGACTGGATGTTGGCAACGCTCGCCTCCTGTTTACAAAGACGATCTAGCATTCGGGCCAAATTTTGTTTCGCCTACCCATTACTACGAGGTTCCTGGGGCAACATTTTTATACAACAACAACAACAATGACAACAACAACGAAAGCAACAATGACGACAAATACAACAGCAAAGACAACACCAATGACGATAAATCAACAACAACAGTCACCATCACTTAAGGAAGAATACAAAGA